CTCCTGGGCCACATCCTCACCTGCTAGACTCCCCTGAACCCCTTCTTGGGCTGAGTGAAGGCCCACACTCACTCCTGTCTCAGGGTGAGGGGTCCAGGGGTCCAAGGGAAGCCTTCCATGTGAACAGTGGGGTTGGGGGTGGCACGGGATGAGGGTCCCCGGCTCAGCCCCTAAGAGGCTCTCAGAGCCCTGCTGGGACCCAGCACCAGGCAGCTGGGATGGGGCGAAGGGTTATGGCCAGAAGGCGGGTGGGGAGGCAGAGGCAGGACAGCCCCTGGGAGCAGAGTCCCGGGTTGTCACCTCCAGACATCAGGCTGCCCGAATTCCTCCTGGCGCTTCCGAGCAGGCCAAACCGAATGGGGACAGGAAAGTCCTTGCAGGCCTGGCCGATGGCCCACTACCAGCTCCTGCTGCAGTTCCTAGTGCCTCAGTTTCCATTTTGAATCCACAGAAGGTTAGGCCTCTGGGAAGCCACAAATTGGGACATCGTCCCTGCAGCTTGTAGCCAAATAGGGCCAAGCAAGCTGGCCTTGCAAACAGTGACCCCTAGGTCCTGAGGGTCAGGGGTCAGGGCGGGGTTGGGGTGTGAGGAGAAGGGAGGGGGAGGAAGGGGCGGGGCCACAGCAGTCCAGCCGGGAGTGTGGGAGGGGGTGGTCCTGGGACTGCACTTCGGAGGATGCCAGCCCCCCACTCTGTGCCCGGGAGCCCCCAGACCAGCCCAGAGTGACCCTGAAGGCTGCCACCGTGAAAAGACAGAAATGGTCCATGCTTTCCAAACATTGCACATGAGAAGCTGCCAAACCAAAAGAAAGAAAAAAAAGGAAAAGGATAAAGGAAAAAAGAAATGAAGGAGGGCTTGAGGGCCCTCCTCTATCCAGTTCTGGGGATTGAACCCAGGGCCTTGCTACTGGGCTACATCTGTGGCCATTTAAAAAATAATTTAAAACGTTTGAGAAAAGTTCCCTCTAAGTTGCCTAGGCTGAGCTTGGAGTGTTTTTTTGTTTGTTTGTTTGTTTGTTTTTTGGTTTTGTGAGGCAAGGTTTCCCTTTGTAGCTCAGGCTGGCCCTGAACTGACTATGTAGCCCAGGCTGGCCTTGAACTCAGGGTGATTCTCCTGCCTCAGCCTCCTCAGTGCTGGGATTACAGGCGTGTGCCACCATGCTCAGTTCAATTTCAGTCTTTTTTTTTTTTTTTTACTTTTTCGGGACCGGGGATCGAACCTGGGACCTTGTGCTTGTGAGGCAGGCGTGGCACCACTGAGGTAAATCCCGGCTCTCTGAGCTTGAACTTCTGATCCCACCTCAGCCTCCCCAGTAGCTGGGATGACGGCATGTGCCTCCACAGCCAGTGTGGGGCCTTCTGAGGCACCTCCCTGGCTGCAGACTGTCCGGGTGGGGGACATGGACACCAAGAGGGAATGGAGCTCCCTAGTGCTGCCCGGCAGGCACAGGCATGAGTGAGTGAGTACCTGTGTGTGTGTGTGTGTGTGTGTGGGCGCGCGCGTAGGACTGCGTGGCCATGATCCTGGGGGGCATGTGGCCGTGTGTGGGTTTACAGATCAGTGAGAAAGTGTGTGAGAGCCAGGGTGTGTGTGTGTGAAAGTGAGTGTATCTGTGTGTGCAAGAGAGTGACAGTGAGGCGGAGGGAGGGAGGGCTGGGATGGGGCATGGTGTTGCCTTGGAGCAGGAGCTCCCATGTGAACCCCTCTCTAAGGCTCTGCTAGCTACGACACGGAGGTCCTGGTATGACTAATGCCTGGGTTATCATGAAGAATTAAGACTGATGTGTGTTGAGCTCCTATCTAACCCAATGAACCCCAGACCGACGGGCCAAGGCAGGTGCAGGAGACCTCTGCAAAGTCACCTGCTGGGGGAATGGCATCAGTGGTTGGAGAGGGAGGGCAAACAGGGCTGTGGACTCTACTCATGTTCACGCCCTGCAGCTCAGGGGTAGGAGGAGTGCCAGGGCTGATGCAGGATTTCAAGTCTCAGGTAAGATGCACTTGTAGTGGTTACCTTTCCATTGTCGGCACAAAACACCTGACACACACAGCTTTAAGGAGAGGTTCATTGTGGCTCATAGTTTCGGAGGCTTCAGTCCAAGGTCACCTGGCTGTAAGGCAGGAACAGCTTGGCAGAAGGACCTGGTGGAGGAGACCTGCTCAGCTGACGGTGAACAGGAATCAAAGAGAGAGGGAGGAGCCAGAAGGAAGGGGAGGGGCCAGGATGTGCGACCCCCAGGCCACCTCCCCAGGGACCTGCTTCAACTGTGCCCCACCCCCTAATCCCCCTTCAGCTCTGAGCCCACAAATGCATGGGTTCATGATCAACCACCTTTCCAGGCCCCAGAACATGCAGCACTGGGGCTCAAGCCTTCATTCCATGAGTCTTTGGGCGATCCTTCATCTTGAAGCCCTAAAAATACTGGAGAAAAGGTAGAAGATACATGGAAACAGAAAGATGGAAGGTCCTGGGTCTTGGAGATAACAGCCCACAGCATCTCAGCCTGGGGCTTTCAAGAATGGAACCAACCGTTCACACACACACACACACACACACACACACACACACGCACACCCCAAATGCAACTGTACTATGTCCATTCTTCGGTGATTTACTTTGTCCAATGACTAGGGTCTCGAATACAGCAAGTCTTATCTGTTAGCTGTTATCACTGTCAGTCTCTCCTTTTTTTGGAGTTTTTTTGTTTTTGTTTTTTGGAGTTTTTTGTCCTTTGTGACCCTCCTGTGCCTATCCTTTGCCCATGTTGTAATGGGGCTTTGGCTTTCTGTTTATGCACGAGGGCTGTGTCCACCCTGAACGTGGACTAGGACAGAGCCATCCCCCCGGGGCCTAGGCACTGGGTGTTTGTTCCCAGGAGCCCTACTCTACTGAGGAGCCCTGGACTTGGGTGGGATGGAGGTCTAGACCAGGCACTGGCAAGGGAAGAGAGAAGGTCAGGGCTGAAACGGGCTTGGAGTGACAGAGCTTTAGCGGGAGGCAGATGAAGGAAATCAGGTCACCCCTGCTCATGTGGTCAGTGGGAGATCGAGGGGCAGGGATGCTCTCGCAACAGGGGCCTGGGGACAGCGGGCAGTGGGTCTGCACCCCAGCGTGGTGCCCCAGCTCTGTGGGAGTGCAGAGTCAGCTCCCCCACCACGTGTCCAGTTCCCTTCCAACCCAGAGGACCGGTGAGGGCCCTGAAGCCCCAGAGGCCAGATGTACCAAAAGGTTGCACACATGAGGCTAAAGTCTCCTCTGCACTGTGCGACGTTTTGGAAGTGCCCAAACCTCTCTGAGCCTGTTTCCTTGCTCCTGAAATGGGGTGTAACGTCACCTACTTAACAGGCTTTCCTGGATTGGGATCTGAGTGTCCTGCCTTGAGCAGAGGGCCTGGCTATCACAGCACTGTACGCACAGCGAACTGAATGTCCTCAGGGGAACTGTCACTGCCCAGCCCTCTGCTGGCAGGGCCCTTGAGCGACCTGGGGAGCTCTCCACTGCATCCAACGCTGTCAGACTACAAGGCCTGGGCCTGGTGTCAGCATTATAATGGCATTAAGTGTGTCCTGTTCTCCAAAAACAATTTCAGTTCTGAGCCTGGACACCTGGAAAGTGACCTTATTTGGAAGAGAACTCTTGCAAATACGACCAAGTTAAGACAAGGTCACACTGGGTCTGTGGACTCCAGGTCCAGGGACTGGTGTCACTCAGTGAGGAAGATTCGATTCTGACAGAGACCCAGACATAGAAATGTGGTCACGGGCGGTGGGGGAGGGTTGCTGGACCAATGCTGCCCCAGCCCAGGGTCTCTGGAAGCTGGCAGCGCAGGAGCGAGTCTTTGTATGGGCCGTGGGCCTTGAATTTGAACGTGTGTGTCCAGAACTTGCGGCTGGGAAACCTAAGACAGCCCAGCCCTAAAGGGACTTAACCAGGATGCTCCCCATCTGCCCTTTTAGAGGCTTTGACCGCCCAGTAGGCTGTGACAACTTGTCACCTGATGGAACAACTTTGTTAACCATAACAATAGGGTCCAACAGAGCTCAGCATGGTGGCACAAGCCTGAAATCCCAGCACTTGGGAGGCTGAGGCAGGAAGATCTCTGTGAGTTCGAGGCCAGCCTGGGCTACATAGTGAGATCAGGGCCAGTTAAACTACAAAGGGAGACTCTGCCTCAAAAAACAAACAAATGAACAAACAAACAAACAATAGGTTCCAATTATCCAGCCCCAGCTGTGTACTCTGACTCTGGCTGTGGGACCCCAGGGCTGGCTGGCCCTGGGTACGCTTTGATGGCCTTTTCTTGGGAAGTAGTTTGGCTCGTGCCTGCTCTGCCCATTATTGAATGTTTGTATTGAGACAAATCAGGGTAAATCCAGAAGTCAGGCCTTGGCTGTGTGGCTGGGGGTCCCCGAGGCCCAAGCGGGTGGCTCGAGGGAAGATGCCCCGGTCCCACACGGGGTCCTTGCTGCTGGGCTCCCCTGCGCGACACCCACCCGGCTCTGGACCCAGGGTCTCAGGCGGGCGGGACCGTTCCCATTTCTCAGACAGTTCGCTGGCCCCACCAAGGAAGTGTCCCCACGCCAGTGTGTGTTTGTGTGTGTGGAGGGGCGCTCATCACCCCACAGCGTGCTGCATGGGGACCGAGGTGCCCACTCCTGCCCCGGGTCGGGAGCGGTATCCCGCGTGGGGCTCCGGCTGGCGTCAACCCGGGGAGGTGGGCATTGTTACCCATTCCGTGGGAGGAGCTCCGACGGCGCCCAGCGGCAGAGCGCGGGATCGCATGGCGGGGCAGGGCCGCTGGGCCGGGCAGGAAGCCGGGCCCACCCGGGTCTGGGATCCGGCTGGGATCGTGCCCGCGCCCACGCTGCCCTGAGCCACCCCTGGGGACACCCAGCAGGTCTGCCCCGGGGACGCTCCGCGCCGTGGTCCTCCGAGCCTGCAGGGGACGCTGTGGGCACGCGCACGCTTCTGGGTCTGTGAGGGCCGGAAGTGCGAGTGAGGACCATTTCCGGCGCGCTGCGGAGGCTTGGGAGGTGGACCCGGCAGGGCGCGGGGCTGTCACTGGGGGAGCTGGGAGCTCCCCGCTGGCGTCTCAGGCTGGGCAGAAGGCGGGGCTACACCTCGGCGCCCGAGCCGCCGCGATGCCGTTTCTGCACGGCTTCCGGAGGATCATCTTCGAGTACCAGCCGCTGGTGGATGCCATCCTGGGGGCCCTGGGGATCCAGGACCCCGAGCGGCAGGAGCCCCTGGACAGGTGAGCCGAGGCGGCCAAGTCCCCGGAGCTGGCCCGGAGACGCCGCGGGGCGCGGGTGACCCAGGCGGGTGCCGCGAGGGCCGCAGGGCGGAGGATGAGGCGTCGCCGGTCTCGCCCTGCGCAAGGGAGGGGGTGGAGGCCTCGAGCGCCGCAGTTCTCAGCCCAGAGCAGGGCGACGATGAGTGTTTTGAGGCCGAATTTGCGCTTTGTGCGGACAGCCTAGCCCTCGGTGCAGAGCGGGGAAGGCGTGGAGGGCGGTCCCCGGGCACGACCGCGGCGCTGGGCACTCGCCGTGCGCGCCAGGGTAACTAATTGCCTGTGCACGGGCGCGGTGGAGACGAGCAGAAGCCTGGGGGCGGGGTGTCCCTAAAATTCCAAGGGATGATTAGCAATCCCACGGGGACTTGGTGCCAACTGAGGCTTTCTTCACCACCGGCTCTGCCCACTTTGAGGGAGCAAAATGCAGGGCGAAGTGTTTCCTGAGCTGAAGGTCGCTCGGGGGAACTGCAGGCGTCGGGCAGGAACTCTGTACACATGCCTGTGTCGCGCTGCAGAGCAATGAGCTTGACTCCTGCCCGGGCCCCGAGGGAAGCCTTGAACCAGCCAGCTGGAGGGGTGCAGATGGCTGAGGTTAGGGGAGGGCGAGAGGGGGGCGCGGCGGGGAAAGGGAAGCCTCACCGGGGGGACGCTGTGGGAGCGGCCTGCAAGCGTGGGAGCTGTCCCTGGCGGAGGTTTTTAGGGGTGACCACAGCTGCTCGAAGCGGTTAGGGAGGGCTGGGGGCGGAGCGGGGGTGTGAAGGCCTTACTGGAGGCGGCTCTGCTGCAGGGCCGGCCTGGCATCCTGCAGCTCCAGGAGGGTATTGTCGTGTGTGCGGCTGCGGGTCGTGACCCTCAGCTCCCCTCAGTCCTGATGCCCTGGTGTGAGGCCACATTTGCTGGGGCGCTCAGAAGACAACTGAACAGACCCAGTCCTTCGGCAAGAAGGCCAAGGGGGCAACCTGCTGCAGTTTAAGAGGTGTAGCTTGGCCAGATGAAGGCACACACCTGTAGTACCATTTACCTGGGAGGCTGAGGGCCAGCTTGGGCAACTCAGGGAGACCTTGCCTCCTAATGACAATTTTTTTTTTTCGATATCGGGGATCGAACTCGGGTCCTTGTGCTTGCGCAGCAGGTGACAAAACCACTGAGCTAAATCCCTGGCCTCAAATGACAGTTTTTGAAGAGGCTGGGCATGTGGCTCAGTGTTAGGACACTTCCTGTCATGTGAGGCCCTAAGTTCAGTTCCCAGTGGGCCTGAACAGTGGATGGACGGACAGTTCAGGTGTGCTGTTTCTGTCTCACCCTTCTCCTTGGGAAGACTCTCTGTCCCTCTGTCCCAGGGGTACTAAAGACCACCTGACCCAGGGTGCTGGAGGCAGCTGGCCCCATGGCACATCCATCCCTCAGCTGGTCCCCTCTCGCCGCCCAGGCCCAGTTACGTGGCCAGCGAGGAGAGCCGGTTGCATGTCCTCCGAGAGCTGCTGGAGAAGAAGGCTCACTCCCCGTTCTACCAGGAGGGCGTGAGCAACGCGCTGCTCAAGATGGCCGAGCTGGGGCTCACGCAGGCAGCCGCCATCCTCCTGCGCAGCGGGGCCAACCTCAACTTCGAAGGTCAGTGGGCCGAGCCTCTTTGTTCTTTCAGGAGTGCTGGCCACACTCGGTTCCTGGGCTGTCCCGGGGCTCCCCAGTGGCTCTCTGGACCTGTCCCCGGAGCCAGTGTGCTCTGCCTTGGCCTCATGCTGGATTGAGCCAACTGCCTGCTCCCATGAGGAGGGCTATGCCGCTGCTGGCACTGTGCACGGTTCCAAGGGAAGGCAGTTTTCGGCACCCACTCCCTTGAGCTCTCCTGTGACTTTGCTCATACCTGTTGGGGAGGCAGGAGTGCGTAGGCTTCCTTCCGGCTGATGGTGCCAGGGAAGGTGACAGGTGACAGGCCGACCTGTCCTCCCTGGACTCAGCTGGGGCAGGGGTCGGTCACAGGTAAGGCTCCCCTGGGTGTTGGGCTCTGCTGACCCAGGGCAGCAGCAGCTCCCCTCCCCAGCAGAGGCTGGGGACCTTGTGTACCAGGGTGGGCACTCTGAGGTCCTTCTCATTGGGTGCCTGGCCTTGACAGCCTGCCACACTTCGGGCTTCTCCCAGCGGTTCTGGGAGGGGAGGGCCTGTTTCGTGGCCCCGGTAGACGGGAGAGGAAGCTGAGGCCCAGACAGGGCCAGGAGCGGTCGCCAGGACGCCTCAGGCTCCTAGCAGCTGTGGGGACGGCTGTGTCCTGCCGCTTGCTGCAGGGTTGGTGCTGGGGCTGGGCTGAGCTGAGCTGATGGAGCATTGCCACCTATAGACCCCGTCACCTACTACACGGCTCTGCACATCGCCGTCCTGCGAAACCAGCCAGACATGGTGGAGCTGCTGGTGCGCCACGGGGCTGACATCAACCGGCGGGACCGGGTGAGTGGGTGTCCCCTGCTGGGTGGCAGTTCCGGGCACCCTGGCAGCCCCTGGGCCAACCTGGCTGGTGTTTCTGGGCTCAGATCCATGAGAGCAGCCCCCTGGACCTGGCCAGCGAGGAGCCCGAGAGGCTGTCATGTCTGGAGCGCCTGCTGGAGCTGGGAGCCGATGTCAATGCAGCTGACAAGCACGGTGCGTGGTCTGTGGGCAATAGGTGGCTTGGGGACCGGGCCAGCCCAGGGGGCACTAGGTGAACAGCAGGATGCCAGTCCCTGGCAAGCCTGGTGTGGCTGGCGCACAGGGAGTCTGGTGGCCTTGGAGAGGCTGTGCAGTCACTGTCCCCGAGGGCCCCCTGGGAGGAGCAGTGGCTTCCTACTGGGAGACCCAGCCTAGGTCTCAGGTAGCAACCCGGGCTGCACAGAACTCCCACCTCTTTTGCCCCATCCCTGGCAAGCCCCTTCCTGTTTCCTCCCCCTCCGAGGGTTGCCCAGCCTCCTGCCCCAGGGAAGACAACTGTCCCTGTCCCTCCCCCTCTCCTCAGGGAAGACGGCTCTGCTGCATGCGCTGGCCAGCAGCGATGGGGTCCAAGTGCACAACACGGACAACATCCGGCTCTTGCTGGAGGGAGGTGAGGCTCGGCCACGTCCCCAGTCCCCGTCCGCTTGCACCCAGCAGTGGCTCTGCCCCCACCCCTCTGGCATTGCCGCCTCCATCTTCTGTTTTTCCGATGGCTCTTCCAGGAGCAGACGTCAAGGCCACCACCAAAGACGGGGACACTGTGTTTACCTGCATCATCTTCCTGCTTGGGGAGACCGTGGGCGGGGACAAGGAGGAGGCCCAGATGATCAACCGCTTCTGCTTCCAAGTCACGCAGCTGCTGCTGGCACACGGGGCTGACCCTAGCGAGTGCCCGGCCCATGAGTCCCTCACGCACATCTGCCTCAAAAGCTTCAAGCTGCACTTCCGGCTCCTGCGCTTCCTGCTGGAGTCGGGGGCTGCCTACAACTGCTCCCTGCACGGTGCATCCTGCTGGTCCGGCTTCCACATCATCTTCGAGAGGCTCTGCTCGCACCCGGGCTGCACTGAGGATGAGAGCCACGCAGACCTGCTGCGCAAGGCTGAGACTGTGCTGGACCTCATGGTGACCAACTCCCGGCAGCTCCAACTGCCCTCCAACTTTGACATCCACCCGGTGGGCAGCCTGGCGGACAAGATCCGGGCCCTGCACCACTCCCTGCGGCAGCTAGAGCTCCGCCCCCCATCCCTCAAGCACCTGTGCCGTGTGTACATCCGGCTCTACCTGCAGCCGTGGCCAGTGGACACGAAGGTCAAGGCTCTGCCCCTGCCCGACAGGCTCAAGTGGTACCTCCTCAGTGAGCACAGCGGCGCGGACGAGGACGACAGCTGACAGGGCGGTGGCCAGGAGGCTCCTATGTCCCCAGGACCTGCCCTCCCCTGGGCTGTGGAGCGCCTACGCGTTGGTGGAAGTGGGCGGCATGGAGTCTGGGGTCCTGGGTCCCGCATGGGATGAGCCTGTATCATCCTGCCAGCAGGCCCTGTCCCCAACCCTCCACTTGACCGTCACTCACAGAAGTGCTTTTGGTGAGTGGGGAGAAGATACCCAGGGCCACTCCAGGCCGGCCTTCCTGGGACCCTGTCCCTGCCACCACTGCAGGTCCAGGGGCCACTTCTTGTGCTGGAGGGTGGTCATGCTGCGTGGCAGGATAGGCCTTCCCAAGGGCTCTGGGAGCTGGGGGTCAGGCCCATTAGCTGTGGCATCGCCCTGTGGCCCTCAAGCCACTTCCAGGCTGCAGTCAGGGGGAACTATGTAAAGGCCTCTGGGAAGGAGCTGAGGCTGCCGTACGATGTATTCACATCACAGATTAAATGGATTCTCTTGGCTCTGGGGTCCTTGTGTGACACTAGCCCGTCCCTGCCTGTGCGGGAGGGACCCAGCATGCCCTGAGCAGGGTTGCGGCGGGGGTGCGGCAGGGTTTGGGAGACACGAAGATCGGGGCACAGCTTCCTGAGACCACAGCACTCATCCCCACAGAGCACAGCAGACTGGCTCAGGCCACCACGGTACAGGGCTGCACCCCTTTATTCCTGACTGAAAGTTCCCGCAAAACGGGAGCCCTGAGTACAGTGAAGAGGAAGCCACACATCTGCCCTGGCCACAGGCTGCTGCGCCCAAGCTTTAGGGACACCAGGATCCCATCACCAAAAGGACGTGGGCCTCAAGCATTCCCGTGAGGTACCACGTGCAGGCACCTGGCCCAGCTCCTCCCTCCCAGGGACCACGCCTCCCCTGCTCCTAGTCCAGTCCCCGCCCTGCAGCAGGCCTGAGGCCTCATCCAGCACAGGCAGTGCTGGGTGCACTGGACACAGCCCTGGCCTCGAAGCCCGAACCCTCCCAACCCGCTGCCAGGAAGCAGAGTCCAGCGCGGGCAGGTGGCCAGGCGGTGTACTGAGGGCTCTCCACCCCTGGCCGGCCGCAGCTCATCGCAGCGCCAGGCTGTACACAGGGTAGATCTCCTCCGGGAGGTTCTCCTGCCGCTCCTCAGCCAGGAGGCTAAGGCCCGCCATGTGGACAATCCTTCGGACCACCTCCAGCTCGCGGCACACGCTGCTGTCCACATCATCCAGGATCACGCCTTCCTGGGCCATGTTGTCCTTGATGACAATGAGGCCGTTGGGGCGCAGGGCGTGCTTGCAGCGCCTTAGGAACTCGGCCAGGTGCTGGTCAGTCAGGTGGCCTGGGGAGGGCAGGGGCTCAGTTACTGGGGTGACGTGTGGGTCTGCAGGCTGCTGCGGGGCTCAGCCCTTCCCCTGTGCCACCTCACAATCCTGAGCCCCATTCCATAAGGGAACAAGCTTGGGAATCACCTACAAGTCACCTTAGGGCAGGGGATGGTGGGCACGCCTGTCATCCCAGCACTACGGGAGGCTGAGGCAGGAGGATTGCCACGAGTTCAAGGCAGCCTGGGCTAGTGAGCTCAAGGATAGCCTGAACTACAGAGCAAGACCCTGTCTAAAAACAGAGGCTGGGGATGAAGCTCAATGCAAAGGCACTGGGTTCAACTCAGTACTAAAAAAAAATCAGCTACACAAAGCACGCGCTAAGCCTGAAGCTGGGGTTCCTCTTGGCCTGGCCGGGCACTGACCTGGTCTAGCCATGGACACAGTGCCTTCTGCCCGGCACCAAGACAGCATGCCAGGTGAGCAGAGGCCGAGTGGGTGCCAGACAGGACAGCAGAGCTGGGCCTGCACAAAGCTGGGCCAGGGCTTAGATGTCTCATCTCTAATACCAAACCCTCGCACAGCTCGGCTCCACTTGGAGTGCAGCAAGTCATGGGCCACTTACAGTGTTTCAACAGAAACCTGTGCCTGGCCAAGCACGGGGCTGCATGGCTGTAATCCCAGCACTCAGGAGGCTGAGGCAGGAGGACTGTCACCAGTTCAAGGCCAGCCTTGAACAAGCACAAGGGTACAGCAAGACTCAAGGGTACAGCAAAACAGCCCTGCTGGGAGGAGGAGCGGGCCTCTGAGGGAGCGGCTGCAGGTCCTTGAGCAGTGCGGGAGCCAGAGGCGGGCGGGCGGCCTCACCTATCACCCACTGGATCCAGATGACGTCGTACGAGCCGGGCTCAGGGCTGAAGTCCTGCAAGCCGCAGCAGAAGTAGTTCCTCACCCTCTTGCCCTCCTCCCCCAGGTAGGTCCTGGCCTTGGCCAGAAAGTCCTCCGTGACGTCCACCATGTCTACCACCTCAAAGAGCGGCAGCAGCAGCTGCTTGGTGATCCTCCCGATGCCAGCACCGCAGTCCAGGGCGCAGGAAGTCCCTGGCTTGTCCGGCCCTTCCTAGGAAGCAGAGCAAACATGAGACACACAGGACCCTGCCACGCACGAGCCCAGCCCGAGACGCGGGTAAGGGCTCGGCACGGGCGGGCTGGGTGAGCACAGAGGACCATCCTCTGGGCCTCACGTTCTTCCTGCCCCTGGGGATGGAACCCAAAGCCTTGAGAATGCCAGGCGAGCACTGTCCCACTCAGTGATGCCCCAGGCATTTTTAAATTCAAGTTGGAGACGGCCTCACTAAGTTGCTTAAGCTGGACTCAAACTTGCAATCCTCCTGCCTCAGCCTCCCAAGCAGCTGGGATCACAGTTGTGCGTCACTGCACCTGGCTGGGCCACACATTTCCAGAATGAAAGTCAATCCTATTGAAAGGTAATAAATCAAACAGGTGCACTGATCTCTTCTCCCTCCTCACACCCCAGCAGGACAGCCAGGCCCGGCTGACGTGGACAGTCACGAGCCCCCAGCATCACCCCGACTCTGGCCCAGTGCCCCACCTCTCCCTGTGCCAGCTGCACGGAGCCCCCAGAGCCGCAGCCTCTGCTGAGAGGGCGGGGCCCTGCCTACCCGCAGGAACCTCTGCAGGAACTTCCGGGAGCTGCTGAGGTCGATGCTGGAGATGTGGCCGTACCCGCCCAGCATGCCGTCCACCGTGGGCGGGATCTGCTTCCAGTACGTCTCGGCCTTCGAGTAGAACTGCTGCTCATCCTCGATCATCTCACTGGTGATACCGCCCCCACGGCTGCAAGCAGGCACCTCTCCTGCCACAGAAGAGAGGAGTCAGCCAGCCGGGGCAGCGTCACCCAGATATCGCGGCCATGTGCCTGCCTGGTGCCGGGGCGTCCAGGGTCCGAGACCCGCATCCCACCCTGTGGACAACAGCACCTCTGCCCTGCTGCAGTCATTGTGCAGAGCTGTGCACGGAGCCCGCCAGGCCGGAAGCCCTGATGTGGGGAGGGCCGGGAGGGCAGAAGACCGCGTACCAGGTCGGGGGCAGGGACAGCATCCCCGGGAGGTCACAACCCGCAGGTGGCAGATGGGAGACAGCGGCTCGGCCGGCAGAGGGAAAGAGCACAGAGCAGCCGGGCAGCATCCAGTGGTTAGATTTCACCCCAAAAAGCCTGAACCATGCTGGCCGCCATGCAGCCTGAGGACAGGGGCAGCGGCCCACGGAGAGGGGGCCACAAAGCCACCACTGGGCCCTGACGATGGGGCACCGTCCACCGCGTCCTCAGGAGACGGGACGGGTTTGGCAGCCCCAAACAGCCCAACCTCATGGGTCCCAAGGACAGAGGGCCCCCCAGCCTGGGAGATCACCCCTGACCCCACAGCACTTCCAGTGAAGAAGAGCAGCCAGACACACGGAGAAACCAAAGGACAGAGGACACTTCCCAGGGGCAGATGCTTGGCGGCTGAGGAGTGCCGCCCTCCACAGGGACCAGGCCTCCTGCCCGGGGTGCAAGCTTGAGCCAGGCTCTCGCAGATCTGTCAGGCTCTCCCCAGGTGCTGGGGCGCCCGCCAGACCCCACCCCAACATGAGCGTGCTCTGCAGTGGGAGCGCAGGGCAGAGGCAGTGTGACAGTGTGGGCTGGTGTGGGAAGCAGGGAGAGGCAGGGAACACCGGGCCTGCTCTGAGGGCCCCGAGGACACGTGCTGTGCCCTGGACCTAGGCTGTCACCGCGGGAAACCGAGCACCTGAGTCTCCAAGGCCAGAGGACCAACCCGAGGGTGGCAGGCGGCCGTGGCAGTTCTCGCAGGGCAGGGGCAGCAGCTATGCCAGCTCAGACACTGCCTGGCACTTGCTAAGGATGCTCCTGACCACGGGACCCCCACCCTGTGAGTTTGCACGTTGCCCACTGAGCACCAAGGACCCTTCCCATGCACCCGGAAGACCAGGGCCTCCCCAGGGTGAAGGGCGAGCAATCAGCGAGGGGCAGGGCCTGGGCCCCACTGCACTGGCACAGGCAGCTCACCCTCCCTGCCAGGGTCTCAGCTCAGGTGTCACCTGCAGAAGGCCTCCCGATGCCCTGGGTGCGTCCTTGCCATGCGCACTCACATCTACCTGCAGTCCAGTCCCTTCCTGTGGCCTGCGCCTCCTCCATTCACCAGTGTCCCGCAGGGAGGCCAGGAGGAAGGTGGGAGGCCCAGGCAAGAGCGGAAGCCTGGTTTTCCTGTCACCTTTGCTCGACCCCTAGGCCTACAAGGCCCACACAGAAGCACCACATGCAACTCTGGCACACACCTCAGAACAACTAAAAGGAAAAGCCAGCGGGGCCTGTCGGTGCACGCCTGAAATCCCACTGCTCTGGGAGGCTGAGCCAGGAAGATCCCAAGTCTGAGCCCAGCCCAGGCAACTTAGTGAGACCATCTCAAAAGACAAAGCAGGCCAGGGGGTGTAACTCAGTGCAAAGGCCCTGGGTTCAGTCTCCATTTCCCAGTCTGGGAAAGAAAAAAAAAAAAAGGAAAGGAAAGGAAAAAAGAAAGGAGCAGGGGCCGGGGATTTAGCTCAGTGGTTCTGGTGCCTGCCTCACAAGCACAAGGTCCTGAGTTTGATCCCCGGTACCAAAAAAAAAGAAAAGAGCAAAAAGAGGAAAAAAAAGAGAGACCCTAAGTTTGGGATGCTTCATGGGCGGGCCTCAAAAGAAGTCAGGAAAGAGGAAAGGGCTCAGGATCGGCTCCTGGCCAGCCGGCCGCTGCTACCCAGCTTGGAGAGGAAGGGAGTGACTGGAGCGGGAGGAGAGAGGCGGACCCGGACCCGGTTGCTGCTCCAAGCGCATCCTGAGGCACCTTCCAGAAGCAGCTCACTGGCCTCGCCCAAGGGCCCACAGCTCCCAGCAGACCTAGTTCTTTTTTTTTCTTTTAATTTACTTTTAGGAGTGGGAAAAATTTATTGGGAGAAAGAAAGCTTCGCCCTAAGAGAAACAGAAAGAAGGGGGACCGGAGAGTGGGTTGCCCCCGGGCAGCCAGCGCGAACAGGGCGGCCTGGGCTGCAGAAGCAGATGGAGGGGCCCGGCCTCCCCACCCAGCCCACTCCTGCTGCGGCCCACAGGCTTCAAGGACCGGTCACAGGGTGGCCTGTCTGGAGCTGCCCACGTCCGCCTAGCCCTCCAGGCTGTCCTTCCTGGAACCTTCACTGCGCCCACAGAAGCCCGCTTGCCCTCTGCAGGCCCTTGGGCTGCGACAGGGACCGCGGCCATCACTGCAGCAACTGAGGAGCCTGTGAGCGTTAGGCCCGGGGCCTGGGACCTGGGACCTGGATCTCCACGCTGTCTCCGGGCTCACCACAGGGCCCGCACCCAAGTCAGGAGCCCCAGCCTGGGTCAGAGGGCTCATGACTCATAATGCCACTCGCGCACTCTGAGGGACTGGTGACCAGAACGTGGAGGCTGCCAACCCCAAGACGCCAGCTGTGGTGGTGGGCGTGCTGGAGCCCACCGAGAGCGGGTTCTGACGGCCAGGTGGGCTGCCTGCTCCCTGCCAGCAGGCACCTACAGAGATCACCCGAGGGGCCGTGCGCCACCAGCCCTGTCCCCACTCGCTGCCACCCAGCAGCAGCCTGGGGACTTCTGCTTCAGTCACATTCAGCTCTGCCTCCCCCCAGACCTGAGGCCCTGGGAGGGCCAGGGCCACGGCCAGAGACCCTGAGGTTTTTTACTGCATTTCTCTTCTGTCTCCTCCTGGGGCACTGGAGTATCCAGCTGCGAAAGCTCACCTGGGAGCAAATAGCTTGGGGCAGACCCTTCCTGGGGCACACGGGGAAGGACAGGACCCTGTGCTTCCAGCTCAGTGGCCAGCTAAAGGCTGGCGTCTGCTAACTGGCTGCTGGCTGACGAACAGAACAAGGGTTTTATACAGCTGCCACCATTTTCCACCTTAAGAAAATCCCATGAACAAAAGTCCAGCCACTCTGACCCGATGAAGCTGAAAGCTGTTCCCGCCACTGTGACTTTCTGCTTTACCAAAAGTTCTATGATGTACTTGCTTTAAATGTCAAAGTCCCCTGCATAATCTAATTTACAAGAATTCCACTTGCACGCAGATTCTAGGAACGTGCCAGGGGAGGCTCAGCTCAGCCGGGAAAAGGCAAGCCCCATGCTGACGCTGGCTCCAACACTGACTCACAAGGAAACAAGATTCCTTTTTTTTTGAGACAAAGTCCCACTATGTAGCCCAGGCTGGCCTCAAACTCACAGTGATCCTCCTGCCTCAGCCTTCAAGTGCTGGGATTACAGGTGTGCGTTACCATGCCCGGCGTAAAGTTCTTCTGAAATAAAGGAAACCCCCCAAAATGGACAGAGCTACACACATCTGTAGAGGAGAGAAGACCCAGTCAGACAGAGAAAAGGCCAATCACTGCATTCACTTCCTAATGACAATGTCATGTCACACTACAGAACAGTGTTAAAGAAAAGGCAGAAACGGACAACCTTAGACCAGTTTTTAGTTCTGAAAAGGTTGAGACCTAGTGAGCCAGAACCAGGTCTAGTGGGCCGCAGACTCTCCCAAGGAGAGAAAGGACACAGAGAGCCAGATTCCTGATGTTCTCATGGAAGGGGACTCTCCTTCCAAATGATAACCACCTTCCATTCATCCTCCCTTCCTGCCAGCCAGAGATGCCAACTCAAATGGTGCATACAGTACGAAATTGTTTCTGGTAAACGAGGCACGTTTTATAACTTCTTGGTGAATACACTAAGAAAATTATTGGTGTTTCTGGTAAATTACACACATTATACAACCTTTTTTTATTATGAAAAGGTTAGTTAAGGGGAGCTTTGGGAGGTTTGGAACGCATTATAGGTGTTTCCATTATTTCTTACAGGAAAAATAGTCCTGACTTACAATCAACTTGATTTACAACCAGTCCTGACAAACAAATTGAGTTCAGAAATCAAGGGTCCACTGTATACAGTAAAGCCCTGCCTTGAAAAAAGCAAAAAAATCCAGGAGTGGTGGCGCATGCCTGTGATTCCAGCACTCCAGAGGCTGAAGCAGGAGGAAGGCCAGCCTGGGCCACACAGTGAGACAAACAAAACAAAACAAAAAACTCCAAACAACAACAACAACAAACTAGGTTGTGGTGATGTGCACCTGTAATCCCAGCACTCTGGGAGGATTGCCAAGTTTGAGCCCAGCCTGGGAAATTTAGCAAGACTCAGTCTCAAAATAAAAACTAAAACTGGGCTCAGGATGTAGCTCAATTTGAAAGGCCTGGGTTCAATCCCCAGTACTGCAAAAACAAAGCAAAATAAAAAGGCTGAAGGTGTTTTAAAAAGGCCCAGTAGAGTCAGATGAACCAGGTCTGAACCAGCCTCGTTCACTCGATGTGCGAGCTCGGAGAAGACCTGGCCTCGCTTTCCTCAGTTTCCCACCCACAACAGGAACAAAGACGCTGTATGGAAAGCAGGTGATGATTTGTCTGCAGGGGAAGTCCGAGGTGCTCCATGCAGCACGCACCAGGTACATGTTCTTTGTCCAGCTGAGATCTCAAATGAGGTCATCAGCCCTGCTGGTGAGGACAGTGATGAGGAACACGCCCTGAGTACTGACTGTATACACTGGCACGCAGTGACACACCTGCAGGATCACTGCTGGACAGTTTTCTGGTGGCCTCAAACAGCGCCTCAAATTGGCAGAAGTGCAGGTGAGCTTCCCCCATGTAAACCCAGGGCACCTGCAGATTAAGACCTTCTGGAAGCCCGGCATGGTGGCACAGCTTTGTGATCCCAGCACTCCGGAGGCTGAGACAGGAGGATCTCCAGCCTTAAGTACTTACTGACTTAGTGAGACCATATCTCCACAAACAAAACAAAAACTAAGACGTTGTCCTGGAGACTGTATGGCTTCTGGCCTCCACTAGAACATTCTACATGCACCCGCAACTCTCCTACACTCCTCAGTATACTGGGAGAAAACCCAACACGCTAAAAAAGTGATATTCCTTAAAACATGCAGGAAACCAGGGATCGACTTAAGGTCGAAATCAGGCCTCGATCACAGCCCTGGTCTCCCCCAGGGACTCAGCCCTTCTCTAGCTCCCTGCCCAGCCCACGTCAGGGCCTGGACCCGGGCCGTTTCAGCCCCTTCCTGTACAGGGAAACCACAGAGAGCAGAGCTCGAACCGCTGGCGGGTGGCAAGGCCTGGGGGCGACAGCTACCCACCGTGCTGCACCGGTGCCTGGGGTTAAATGACAGCATCTGCCGCACACCGAAGGAGCCCTCGCATCCACGCTCCCCGCGAGGGTCTCGGAGGGAGACGCGTGGTCCTCGGCCACCCGCGCCCCGCTCCCGTCTGTCCCGGCCCAGGCCGGCCCGCCCTCCCAGGAGCGCACGTGGGCCGGAGCCCGGAGGTGCCCGGGGCGCCCCGACAGCCGCCTCCCCTCCGTCCTCCTCGCGCTACTCACCCCAGGCGGGGCCTCCCAGGACCGGGATGAGAGGACGCGGAGGTGGACGGGGCAACGGCGGCTTCGGCTCCGCTAACCCAAGACCAGACTCCACACCACCTGGCGCGCGCTGCCTTTGTCCGTGCACGTCACTTCCGGACTCCGGGGCGTGGCCATCGGCAGCCCCGCCCCGCATCCGGATCCGGATCCAGATCCGATGCCCGCGGCCTCTGGAGCTCTCCGGGTTTGTCCGTGCGCGGGGCTCTCTCCTCGCCTCAGGCACAAACACTGCTCCACTTGGAGGCTACGCGTGTGGCCTCTCCTGCCAGATGGGTGTAATAATTACTCGGTTTCCGATGCTTCGATGGTTAGATCTATGGGACACCACCTTATAGCCTTCAGCCTACTGCCTGCAGTGGGCTTTCAGGAACTGTGAAAATGACGGTATTCAACCGGGCGTTGGGGCCCCATGCCTGTGATCCCAGCACTGGGGAGGCTGAGGCAGGAGGATCGCCGCGAGTCCAAGGCCAGCCAGGGTTGCATAGTGAGTTCAAAGCCAGCCTGAATTACATAGCAAGACCCTGTATCATAAATAAATAAATGACAATATTCACCTTCTAGGTTCATGTCCCCTAACTCACATCCGGGTGTTCGATTCCCCATGTCTTGCTTTGGGGGGCACTTAAGTGTTTAATGTAATGAAAGCTATGGGGGGTGAGTGTGAAAAGCCCGGCCTGCTGCTGAGTCCCCCACCCTCTATGTCCTTGGGGGTGAGAGAAACTTGTCCACCGTCATGGAACAGGGACAGGCAGACCCTGGAGGTGACACTGGTTTCCTGCATTTTCAGGCCTGCTGTGTCCCTGCCCCAGCCGGTGGGGGGAACTTGGCCCCTGGATCAGGAAAGGACTGCGAGACCTGGGCCTCCCTCCCCGGCTTAGACCTGGCTGCCCCAAGGCCGCCTGGCGCCGAGCCTTGGTGTCTGGGGTACAGGTGGCCCGGTGTGGGGCGGAGCACCCTGGCCCTGCAGAGACCCCAAGGCCAGCGAGCAAGGAGGGGCTGGTGAGAGAACCACCAGAGAGAGGACGGCCCCCGAAGGCTAGTCCACCTGAGGGGGTCTCTAGACTCTCCGGACCCCTCATGGGTCCTGGCCAGAAGCCCCGACACCACTCCGGAGCCGGGAGGGGCCGTGGTGGGGAAGGAAGCAGGTCAGAGACCCCCAGGGTCAGAGTTCCGGGAGAACTGGGGCCCTGCCTGCCTAGGGGGGAGTTTGTTAACAATGTGTTTATTTACACACGTGTTGGACCGGGGATTTAGCTCAGTGCTTCTGGCGCCTGCCTTGCAAGCACAAGGTCCAGAGTTCGATCCCCAGTATCAAAAAAACCCCACAACACAACACATATACACATGTGTAAATACCGAATAGTTTCTCTAGTGTGAGAAACTGAAAGTATAAAAAAAGAAACTGAAAGTGTAATTAAGGATTAAAATGAATAATTGATAATTTGAAATAGGAAGAAAAGGTTCAAAGGGGTAGGGGTCGCAGGAGGGGGAGGGGAGAGATCAGTTACAGGCTGGAGTCTGGAAAGAATCCATATATAGATTGTGTTTAAAACTATAGGAAGAGATGTAGAGACTAGGCTGGAGCTCATCAGTGGGTTGGGAAGAAGAGTCACTGAGGTCAAAGGAGAGAAGGGTGTGTTTCCAGAAGAAGCACATACAACTATGTACAGTACACAGTACTTGATAATGATAAATGACTGTTACCGTTTTAGGTACTTATCATAACATGCTGTGTTTTTCATCCTTTAGAGAATAATCCTACTTATATAAAAGTTTTCTGTGAAACAGTGTGCAGCTATGCCAGTGGTAGCCTCATGTATCTCGTGTTTAACTGCATGTTTGGATAATATCAAGGGGCCATCACAGATGACTGACATATACTTCTCAGTTTGCACTTAGAAGTTGGCACTCTGTGTGGTACTTTGCAGTACACACAGATGAAATTACCTAATAACATATTTCTCAGATTATATTTCTATCACATGTCACATGACTGTATTGAAATTTAAATTTTAAAAATTTGGCCTATGTGGAATCTACTAGCTAATTAGATTTTTTTTCCAGACCACTATTTGTTCAATATTAGTTTTTTTGTTTTTTGTTGTTTTTGGTACCGGGGATCAAACTCAGGTCCTTGTGCTTGCAAGGCAGGCGGCGAAACCACTGAGCTAAATCCCCGGCCCTGTTCAATATTAGTTTTGAAAATCTTTCTAAAACAAATCACATCTTTTGATGTCTTGTTAATGCTCGAGATGTTTTTTTTAAATTATATGGAAAAATGTTGAAGTACTTTTCAGTTTTGCTTTGGTTGAGTTCTAGTATATTTGAAATTATTATAGTTTTTTCCCTTACATTGCTTTCCTTTGAATAATTTTGATTTTTGTATATGTGTGTGTTTAGTGAATGATAATAAAGTTATACATTTAAAAAAGAATGTGTTTAGGCTGGGGTGTCGCTGAGGATGGAGCGCATGCCCAGCATGGGCAAAACCCTGGCTTCCATCCCCAGCACAGGCCAAAAACCATCTTGGCACACGGCCCAGGCCACTCAGTCTGAATCTGGGTGGGACGGGATCTAGGCGGTCCCCAGGAGTAGGGTCTCTCCTTGCCCAGATCTGGGCTCCCCAATCCGGTGGGGTGCCAGCAACAATAGCTCCCGTGATGCCCACGCTCCGGGGGTGGCTCATTGGCCTGTGCCACATGGCACCATTTAGCGTCCACGTGTGGGCACCATTTAGCGTCCACGTGTGGGCACTGCCCCGGTTCTGCAGCTGAGCACAGGCAGCCAGAAGTTCACGGCCTTGCCCAAGGTTGCAAAGCTAGTAAGGAGTGGAGCCCAGCTGGATCCCTAAATAATTACCTGTTCTGTGATGCTGGGGATTGAACCCAGGGCCTTCATGCTGAGCTACATCTTCAGCCCTTTCTGTATATTTTATTTAATTAATTAATTTATTTATTTATTTGGTACCCGGGATCGAACTCGGGACCTTGCTCTTGCGAGGCAGGCGGCGCAACCACTGAGCTAAATTCCTGGCCCTTTATTTATTTTCGAGGCAGGGTCTTGCTATGTAGTTTAGGCTGGCCTTGAACTTACCATGTAGTCCAGGCTGTCCAGGAATTCCCAGCGATCCTCCTGTCTCAGCCTCCCGAGTGCTGCGATGACAGGTGTGCATCACCACGCCAGGCTATAATTTTTTTTAAATAGTAAGTGTGACGGCAGGTCGTCTTTGTTGAGCATGTACCACGTGCCTGGCAATGTCCGGACCCCGACACTTATTGGCTCAAATCAACGTCACAGCGCCCCCTAAAGGTGGAGGTATTCTTGCCGTCACCCTTTCCCGGCGGGCTGTCTAATGAAGCCAGCCCCTCTCCACGGAGCAAGCCGGTGCACTGACCCGAGCCCTGGGCGCCACACAGGGCAGGATGGCCGGGGACGGATCTGCGCCCGCGCCCCGGGTGCGCCCCGGCGGGAGGATGCGCTGAGCCGAGCGCCCAGCGGGTCATCTTCCTGCGCCCCCCCCGCGCCCGGGCGCCCGGGAGGTGGCGCTCGACGGGGGTCCCCGCGCCGCCGGCTACCTCCGACGCCGAGCCCCTCAGCTGCCCCAGCTGGCACGGCCCGAGCTCCGGGCGGCCCGGGGCGCGGGGGGCGGCTCCTCCTGGTGGCAGGACGGGGACGGCTGGCCCGGGGTGGGCGTCAGGAGCCCCTCACCGCCCGTCCCGCCCACGGGCACCCGGCGCGGGCAGCCCCCCGTACTGCCGCCCCTGCTCTCACCGCCTGCGCCCTGGGGGTCCGCCCCACGACGCCCCCGGCACGGGGAGCCCGAGGCCGCCCGCCGGGGCCTGGGCAGGGAGACTCGGGACCCCGTGGGCGCGCTCCTGGGAGAGCTGCTCCCCTGCAAGTTCCGCAAGTTTCTGTCCCAACTGCGGGCCAAGTGTGCGGAGGAGGAGCCGGAGCCGGAGCCGCAGGCACAGGGTGAAGCTCACCGAAGAGCAGAAGCGGGGTGGGGAGGCCGTCCCTCCTGGGGCTGCTCTGCCCTGCCCTTGCAGGTCGGTAGAGGCGCCGGAGTGAGGGCGCCCCCAGCCCCCAGCTCCTCCTCCTCCTGGCCCCCAGCGCCCTCAGCATCTCGACATCAAAGTGGGGCGTCCGAGCCCTGGCGGCGTTCTCCGGGGTGTCCCAGCTGCCAGTTCCTCCCAGACCTGCAGTAAGTGTGGGGGACCTGCATGGTGGGCAGGGCTGCTGGGATACTTCCAAGGTGGGACCTGCCTGTTCATGCCAGGTGTGGCCTGTCTTTAAGGGACCAGTTGTCCGGCTTCCAGGAGAGACTGGAGAAGATTTTGCACCAGCGGACATCTTCCCTGGGACAACTGAGTGGTGACCACTCACAATTCCCCACAGTCAGAAAGGCCAGCTCGTGAGTTATGGGACAGGTATGGGTGGGCGGAGGGCTTTTCTTCCCTTCCCTTACGTTCCCTGTCTTTCACCCATGTGTGTATCCATCCACCCATCCTCCATCCATCACCCATCCATCCATTAACCAGGTCTTCTACCAACACATTCATAATTCATCCATGAGTCCATTCATATGTATGTCATCCTTCTCACCCCTCCTTCCTTGCATACATCTTATCCATGAACTAGGTTTTCTACAACCTATTCATGAATCTTTCCACCATCCATCCATCCATCCACCCACCCACGAGACAGTCCTTCCATTCAGACCTTGTTACTAACTCATCTACCAGCCCAGGTATCCATCGACCTACCCACTTATCTTCCATCTCTTCCCACTTCTTCCAACTTTCATTAGGTTTTAGTATGTGTCAAAAATCTGGGAGAAATAAAATAAGAGAGGAATTTAACAGAAGAGTCCAGGTATTAGATGCCAGAGCTGTAATGGAGATGGGAAAGAAACCAGGAAGAAATGCCTCCAGCTTTAAAAGACTTAGGCAGAGACGAAGGATGCAAAGTATTGCTCATGAGTTTAAAGACCGAGAACCATGAACACGTAGCATATATACCATTCCTCCTCATGCGGTACCCATGGCAGACAATACTAATGGATCACAGCACATCTCTCCTCTGAGTCTGAGAACCTTCTTCAGGCAGATGCCACTAATGCATCACAGATGAAACACTTTACCAACCCAGGAACTCCAAACCAGTCAGGCCAAAGCAGCATACTCCTTTCCCAAGCTATAACCACTATAAAGGCAGGGACTTAGCAGAGCAGAGGCAGATGAATCACAGACTCTCATACCAGAGAAGAAATACTTGAGCACCTGCCCCTATGAGATTCCCTGGTGGGGGGCCTGGGGGACACTGCGGGGCACTGGGACAGCACCTGTGGCTCTCAAAAGGCGAGGACATGCTCACCTGGCAGGCAGGGCCGGGGAGCACCAACAACCCTAAGAACGGCTTTCACTTGGAGATGTTTACCCTGTGCAGGACGCCTTTGGATTTCATCTCTCTGCAGCCCCGTATGGGGGGGGGGGCACCTTGATTATCCCCATGTTACAGATAAGGAAACTGAGGCTCAAGAGTCAAGACTGAAACCCAGGACTGCCTGACTCCTTGTCATCTGCTCACTTGTTGGATGCCTAAGAGGCCCAACCCTGTGCAGATTGGCTGCAGCCTTTACCAGCCTTAACAGCTTTGTGACCTTCGCCATGTTGCAAAGTCACTGTGCCTCAGTTTTCTCATCTGTAGGGTGGGAATAACAGCTGGGTGTAGTGGCTCTAATTCCAGCACTCAGGAGACTGAGGCAGGAAGATTGCCGAGAGTTAGAGGCCAGCCTGGCCCATGTCAAGGCCAGCCCCTCTCAAAACAAACAAACAGGGCCGGGGATTTAGCTCAGTGGTTTCACCGCCTGCTGCACAAGTGCAAGGAACCGAGTTCGATCCCCATACAAAAAAAAAAAGGAATATTAATGTTCGGTGGTAGTACTGTGGGTTTGGTGGGAAGATGTGTGATACCTGCCCACAGGTGAGACTCGGGTTACCCCAGTGTCGGGGTGCAGCAGGGCTTTCGGGCTAAGCCCACCCCACGCGGCCTCTCTGCAGGTTCTGTGGCACACCAGCCCCCGAGGCCATGCCCACCCCTACCCCCTCCGGGGAAGGCTTGGGGCCCCGCAGGCACAGCTGCCCTTTCCAGGTACGGCTTGCTGATGAGATGCTCACGGACAGCGCTCTCTGCTACTGGGAACACAGCTGTGCAGGTAGACATCTGGGCTGGGAGCCCCAGGGACTCAATAGAATCGCAGCCTGGGGTGTGGAGGGCAGCAGGCTGCGCACTGGCCCCCCAGGGGGTGCACCTGCCCCACCTCTCTGGAGGGTGTCAGGTGACTGTCGAGGACCAGGCAGGGCTGAGAGCTGGCGGAAGTGGCAGCTGCCCAGGCCTGATTGCCACCAAGGGGCTTCCCGCTGCTGGGTCTGCCCAGCCTCTGCTGCCTGTGTCCCTGACGCCTGACCTTGGGCTGGCAGAGGAGGTGTCCAGGAAGCTGGAGAAGGGAAACTGCTCTGTCCTGGGGTGGTGAGTACCAGTGTCTGCACGGACACGAGGCCCAGTCAGGCCCAGGCCCCAGGCAGGCATCTGCTCTCAGCCCTCTGGGGACAGACTCAAGGGCGTCCATTTGGCAGGGTTGCCCAAACTGGGTTGCAGGAGGCAAGGAGACAGCAGGGATGTGGCTCAGCCACCTGCCTGGCAAGTGGGAGGCCCTGAGTTCAATACCAGGTATCAAAAGAAAAAAAAAAGAGCCTGCCTCGCCAGTGCAAGGTCCCGAGTTCGATCCCCAGTACAAAAAAGCAAAAAAAGGAAGCAAGGAGAACCAGAGTCCTTGCCTCTTCTCCTCTGTGTCCAGCCACCCCTGGCCTCCCAGAGTTGATGCCCTGCAGCGATTCACTGAGCACCCACTCTGCGCAATTCCGGGACCTGCCTTCCCCAAAGCGCTGCTGTGGAAAAAGCCCTGCAAGGCCAGGACCTCCGCTGATTCCGGAGGGACCCTCCTCAGCCCCCCAGACTCACAGGATTGCAGAGTGAATCTGTGGTTTTGCCCAAACCCCTGTTTTTTTCCACAGGGAAACCAAGGCAGAAGGGACTTGGGTTTTTTTTCTTTTGGTACCAGAGATTGAACTCAGGACCTTGCACTTGCCAGGCAGGCGGCGGAACCACTGAGCTCAATCCCCGGCCTGGAACTTGGTTTTTTGTATTTTTTTACACTGGGAATCGAACTCAGGGCCTCACACTTGCCAGGCAGGTGCTGTGCTGCTGAGCTACATTCCCGCCCATGCAAAGGGGTCTTATGCAGGTGACATGAAGCCAGGAACAAAAAGAAGCCAGGTGACCCCCCACCAGAAGGACAGGGCCAGCCTGGGAGAGACTCTCATGCTGTGGCAGCAGGGTGATTCTTCTGTCCTGTCACTGGCTGTGACGGTACCCAGGGCACAGGGAACCCAGCCTACGCTGCCCAACCCTTCCCTTCCCCAGTCACCCACGGGGAATTCGGGGCAGGCCGGCCGTGCCGGAGGACAGCCCTGGGGGCAGGAAAGGTTCCCGGGCCCAGACACCCCTCCCTCCATCCCCCGGGAATGGGCGCCCTCTGGGATTTTCACCGCGGGGTGGGGGGGGTGTTCGACTTGGCTGCGCGCTGCCTGACAGGGGCCCATTTGGGGCTGGAGCAGGGGCGAGGGTCCTGGGGGCACAGCTTGGGGAGCAACGGCAGAAACAGTCATGCCAGTTTCAAAACCCAGGCCATGTCTAGAGGCAGCCAGAGGCTTGGGGAAGCCTGCGGTTGCCATGGAGACAGGGCTCGGCCAGCCGGTGGGAGGAGGGGGGTGGGGGGGCAGAGTAGGGAACTCGCCTGCTCTCTCCTCTGCAGTCCAGCAGAGCAGGATGTCCCCCCTGCCAGCGGAGTCGGTGTCCAAGCCGGGCCTCAGGAGCCTCGGGAGGTGGCTGGACAGTTTGCCCAGGTCTGGGTACCTCCGGGCCAAGGAGGACGCCATGGCCAGCTCCTCGCGCTGGGCCCAACCTGGCCTGTGAGGCCCCAAGCCCTGTGTGCCTCCCTGACCCCGGGCATGGGACCCAGGGTTCTTGAAGTTCACAGGCTCCTGTCTCCCCAGGCCTTCCCGGGAGCCGCTGGGCTACCTCTCCAAGGGCGCCTCTCTAAAGGGCAGCCTGCCCTTCATCCCCAGGGCCACTGCCCGGTGGCCATGGAGGAACCTGCAGGGGCTCCCGGACACCTGCAGCTTCCTGGAGCAGTTGGGTAGTTGCTCCTGGAGCCAGAAGCCAGTGAGCACCCCACGCAGCCGGTCATGGGCCTGGCAGGGGGTGGGCTGGGGGGCTGCAGGGGCCAGACCTCCAAGTCTGGTGTGGTGGTGCATACCTGTGATCTCAGCACGCTGGGGGCTGAGGCAGGAGGATCTCCACGAGTTCATGACCAGCCTGGGCTATAGTTCAAGACCAGCCAGAACTGCATAGGGAGGCCCTATCTCAAAATAAAAAAACAAACAGAATGGGCCTGCAGCTGTACCACCCACTAGACTGGAGCAGAAGCACGGGTATGGGCAGTGCTCTGTCTCTTCCAAGGTCCCCAGCAGTGACCAGCTTCCTCCCCTCCCTAGGAACCCTTTCTGCCCAGCCTGGTGCTCCAGTCCATCCTGAAGCACAGCTGCCCTAAGGGCTACTAGCTCCTCCTGCCTTCCCAAATGCCTGTGGGAGCCCCAGCTGAGGGCTGCGTGCAGGCCGGGGCATGAGGAGTGTCCTGCCTCAGCCTGCAAATAAAGGCACATCCCTGATGGCTAGGATGTGCTGTTAGGTCTCACGGTACTGTACAAGCCTGTTTCGTGCCTGCTTTGGGAGTCTCTCGGGTTCCTGAGCTGGAGGAGGAACAAGGTAGAATTATAGCTGGGACCAGGGTGAGGGCCAGGACCGCCCCTCGGGTTTGAGACCCTGGACAACCCCAGACCTGGCACCCGGCCTCTGTCCACCCAGTTCAGCCCATACCTGAAGGAGGCACCTGAAATGCAGGGAGCCCCCACCCCTGCCACTGGCCCCCTCCCCGCTGTCCATGGCGTAGTCCCCGGCTGCTGATCCAGCTCTTTGTCGCCACCTCCTGGCCAGGGAGGACACAGCCAGGGAATCCACCGCGGGCACCTGGCTCAGTGGGAACCTGGCTCAGTGGGTCGCTGGGCGGCTGGGGCTGGACAGAGGTTGGTGGTGACCTTGGGCCGTGGAGGACGGAGGCTTTTTTTGGAGGGGCGCCCTGGCTCCAGAAGAAAGGCAGTGGGTAGATTAGAAACGGTTCGGGCAAAGCCAGCTTGGAGAGGGTTGGGAACGGCGCTGCAGCCGCCCTGGCAGGCGCGCACGGGGCCCGGAGCGGGATCGGTCCCCCGCCACCTCCACCCCGCCCCTTGGCATCTCCCCCGTCTGTCTCCGGACTTCTACGCCCCGCGCCCCACTCCAGCCCAGGCTATTTCCTGGGGCGTTTGGGGGTCACCGAGGAGGCCAGATGGTACCACACCAACTCCTGGGGACCTCACCCTCCGCGTGCCTCAGTTTCCCCCACCCGCTCGCCCGCCGGCTGCAGCGCCGCACCGCCCCCACGGGGGGGCAGTGTTGACCTGGCTTTGGCACCACTGAAACTTCTCTGCCTCCTGCGCCAGGTCTGAAACTTTTCCTACCACCCCGGACTCAGGCTCCTGCATCTGCGCGGCCGAGGCCGCACCTGGGAGACCTGGGTGAGCTTTTATTGGTCGCAGGGCGAACCCCAAAGTGCCCAGCCTCCACACGCACCCCAGCCCTGCCACCCCACCCTCAGTCGGGGACCCCAGCCCACGCTGGGATCTCCACTCGCCCTGAGGCCTCGCGTGCGTCCCTTCTGGCCCTCAAAGGTGCCTGTCCATCCACCAAGGTGACCCCCACTGCAAGCAGAGCTGGATCTTGGGGTGACCGGGAGGAGGGTGTGGAGGGAGGAGGAGGAAGTGCTCCAGAGGGTGGCCCCTTTCCTGCTGTCCGGGTTCCCCAGCCTCTTGCTCCTCCAGGGGGTGAACAAGGCCCGGGGACACTCGGCCCTTTCTGAAGGTCAGAGTTACGAAGCGTTGGCATCGGCATCAAACCCAGCACTTCTTACCCTAAAGCCAGTGCCATGGGCTCCCTCCCCCAGAGTGACTCGGTGGGTTGGGGGACCCTTTCTGCAGCACGGGGGGGGGGGGGGGCGCTGCCAAGGCAGAGAGAATGGGGGCGTGGTCAGCGGAAAAGGAGGACTTATTTGGAGCTGGAAGAGCCAAGGAGAGAGCAGCAGGGCAAGTAGAGCAATAGCAGAAGGGGTAGGGGGCAGGAAGTCTGCAGGTTTCCCTGGAGGACCTTGACGGAAAGTAGGGCGGGCATGCGGGTTGATCCTGACCGGAAGTGGAGCGGGCCGGAGAGACCTTGTCCGGAAGTGAGGGAGTCATGTTATGGTGGGAGAGGAGGGGCAGGGGCAATGGGGAGCCCCTGAAGATGTGGAACCCCAGGGAAGCCAGCCCTGGGTGGGAGAGCCCGACCGAGCTCCCTCCCCCATTCACAGGTCGGAGCCCTAACCTCAGTAGGATAGCAGAGGGTGGGGTCTTCGGGGCTGATTGCGTCGTGAGGGTGGGCCCCTCCTGAGTGGCATTAGTGGCCTCTCAGCAGTCCAGAGAGCAAGCAAGATCTCTTTCGGCCGAGCAAGGACACAGCAAATGGAGAGGGAAGGGAGGTGACTGCGGTTATTCCTCGGCCAAATTGGCATTGTAGTCTCCGGGAGGACCAGGGGACAGAGAGGCTCAGAGTGCAGGGGAAAGGCTGCCCCTTCCCCTCATTTTGGCCTGTCCGCCTTCTGTCATGGCCCCCAGGTACGCCGTGACAGGAGGTTGGCACTCCCGGCAGCCCCACAAGTCTCCTGGTGCCCTAGAAACAGCTCCAAGCAATAGGGAGACAAAGTTCACTGTGGCCTTTGAGGCCAACCAGCAGGGTGGGCTGTGACTTCTAGCACCACCCACAGCTGTCCCCACAGTGAGGGCGAGAGGGACCTGGGCCCTGCCCTCTGGAGCTCAGAGGGCAAAGGGAAAGCACCCAGAAGCCAGGACCGATGCCACCAGGAAGGCAGGGTGTGCATGCCCTGGAAGACAGACACTGCCCCTGCAGATGAAGAAACCCGGGCAGAGAGAGGTGAAGTAACCTGGCCAGGGTTGCACAGCTGAGCCCCAGCTGGGAAGCCATGGTAGGAGCTGTGTGGGGGACGCTGGCAGCTCAGAGACCCGGGGTTCCTCCTCCAGTGAGGCGGTCCAGGTTTCCTCTGGCTCAGAGAGCAGGGGCTGGGCTGTCCTGCAAGCTCCACCCACTCCTCCCTTCCTTCACCATTCCCGGTTCCTTCCACAAGTATTCTTTTGTGCTGCTGGGGATTGAAACCAGGGCCTTTACACTGAGCTATATTCCCAGCGCCCTCTCCAGTCCCCTCCCCACCTTTTATTTTGAGACAAGGCCTTGCTAAGTCGCTAAATTGCCCAGGCTGGGCTGGAACTTGTGGTCCTTCTGCCTCAGCCTCCCAAAGCGCTGGGATTACAGGCACCTGGCTTCAGAACACATTTGTTGAGTGCCAGCTGTCTTGTCTGGCTCTGTGCTGGACCCTGTGCTCCGGGCAGCTGGGTTCCCACCTGGGGGGCCGGCTGCACAGGCTGTGACCCCTGCAGTCCCCCCGGGCCCCCGCTGGCTCACGCTTTGCTATCTTAACATTCGCAGGACATCCTTCACCCTGAGCCCCGCAAACTATGTAGCTGGGCTAACCTGTCCAGCGGGGGCCCCACGCAGGGCCGGCAGGAGTGGCCTTTGTCCTGCCTCAACCAAAACCTTACCATGGGTCCCCAGATTGCTCAGGGGACCGACGTGGCCAGCATCAGACTGGAGGTCAGGGCCAGCAGAGCCCCCAGAGGCTTTGACCACACCTTACCTCTACTGGGTGACCGAATTGCGCATGCCCACTACACCAGCTGGGTGGGGAAGAACAGAAACCCCGCCCACCGCTCCAAGCCCCACCCATGCCACGCCCACCCGGCCGTGGCCCAGGTTCCCAGAGGCGCCTCCCCAGGACCTTCACCCCGGGAAGGGGAAGTGCCTGCCCGTGTGGATTTTATATCTTCATCTTCGTGCTGCTTTTACACCAGTTCTGCATTGTGCACGCTCTCCTGCGCTTGCTTCTCTGTCCACAATCGAACCATCATAAAAGGCCCGTTCAAGGTCACTCAATTGTGTAGCTGGAGGGACTGGGCCCGGGGCGACTCAGGCGAGGGCCGTGTTCGAGGCTCCTGTCCTCAGCAGTGAGACTGGAGACCGAGCCAGCCAGGCCTGGAGGGGGCTGGGGGAGGCGTGGGTGCCCCCTTGCCCGAGGCTCCCAGAGTGCCCGCAGGTCCCCGAGCGGGCATTTGGGGTCACACCCTTATATCTACTGCGCCTTGTTCCCCCAGAGCCCGGCTCTCACACCTCTGCCCATCCCTGAGCAGGAAGCTGGCTTTGGATACAGTACCCAGGGTTGTCTCAGCCTTAAAAACCATCACCCCAGGAGCCAGGCCTGGGGTGCACGCCTGTCATTCCAGCACCCTGGGAGGCTGAGGCAGGAAGGTCAGAAGTTTGAGCTCAGCCTGGGCAATTTAGTTAAGATCATGCCTCGAAATAAAAAAATAAAAAGGGCTGGGATGCAGGTTGTGTGAAGGGCCTGGGTTCCCTCCCCAGGACCAGGGGGGAATTCCCTGGGGCTGGGTGGGGCTCATGGCAGAGCTCGGGTCCCAGGCCCCTTCCCCTCCCCGCTGGGGCTCTGGGGCTCGGTTGTGTGGGCGCCTGTGGTGGGTTGGCAGGGGACCCCCTCAAAAGCTGGGTGCAGATGTTGCGATGGAGGCTGGGATGCCCGGAAAGGGGTCATCTCCAGGGCCGTGAGGCGGAGCTGACAGATGAGGACCATTTTTGTCCAGAAAAACATCCAGGGCCTTTGAGACTCCTCCTGCCAGTCCTGAGCCCTTTTCTGAAGGAGCCCCTCGGTCCACTTTTGGGGACAGTAGTCAGTGTCCTCCAATGGAGGGTGCTCTGCGATCTTTGGGGTTAACTCACCTGCCTCTCACCGTTGAAGCACAGAGAGGTCGGGTCGTTCACCCAAGGTCACACAGCTGGGAAGCAACTAAGCCAGGATCCAAGCCCAGCCGGTGTGGCCCAGGTCTGCACCCCTAAGCATAGGCGAGCACCAATCCTTGGTGAGATCCGGGAGAGGGAGACGGGCTGTTCTGTGAGGGGAGGACCCCTCACCAGTGACCCCAGCCTTTCCGCTCCACCCTCCCCTCCTCCTTCTCTCCGTGTCCCTCTTCCTGGTGACCAGCTGTCCCCCTCTGGCCCTGCCCACCCCTTTTCGTCCTCTGGGGCTCCCTGCTGCCCATGGGAAGGCAGGGAGAGTGGGGAGGGCCTCCCAGGCTGGGGTCTCCGGCTTCCTGGAGTTAAGACCCTAATACTATTTTCTCATAGCTTTTGGTGTTTTAATAGAATTGAGGGTAAATCTAACTTGCAAATTTTCCCTTTTGATCTCCCTCCTTCAACAGAGCTGAGTCTGGAGATTGCTGCTGCCTGCTGCTCCCAGCCGGGCTGCTCCTGAGGTGCTCCAGAGGCTCAGAGTCTTGGGCGTGCCCCCGATGGACAGGCTGGGCACTGCAGGCTCGATTCCTGGCTGCCTGCTCCTCCCAGCCCCTCTGCCTCCTCGCCCTCCCCGGCTGCTTCTCCTCCTTTTCTGCAGCAGGCAGCTGGTGCTTTCTCTTTCCTGCTCCTGAGCCGACCTCTGGGTGCCCCAGGCCCTTTGCACATCCCACCCCCACCCAGAAGGTCCTTCCTGCCAGCCCTGCCGACTCCTTAACATCAGGACTCAGGTGTCACAGCCCCAGGGGAGCCAGATGGCTATGGCTCTTCTGTCATCCTCAGACTCATGGCAGTCATAGCTGGTCGATGGCAGCTGACCCCGGAGCACAGAGGACCTGTGTCAGCACCTGTGGGCACCCGCCTCTTCCACTGTGGCTTGGTTTCCCTGACTGTAAGGCCAGGGTGAGCTGGCCACCTGTGCCTTCCACATGGTGCCCTCCAGTGGTCCCTGTGGGCTCCTGGCCAGGATTTCACAGTATTTCACTTCCTTGATTATCTGGCTTTCCAGGGAGGAATTTTCAACCCTGGGCTGAGCTGGTGTCTGCTGGCTACCTGGGCACCCGTCCTGTGCCACCAGCCTGGCTGTACCTGGTGCCCTGGGGGAGCCCCATGGAGGCGGCCCCTCTCTGGAGCCCGGTGTCTGGCCGAGGGATGACGACAGGGTGGCAGTGCTGCAGTCCCGGACCGGAGCTGTGACACCTAGCGGGAGTGGGGAGGTGTGGCGGAAGCAGACACTGGGTTCAAATTCTGGCTCCGTCACTTCTGGTGAGCCCGACCTCCCCACCCCACCCCGCCCCATGTGCTTCAGTCTCTTCGCAGGCATGGGACAGAGAACACCCAGATAGAACCCCAATGGGTCCCTCCCTGGCTCTGACACCTGTCCTCAGCTGGCTGTGTGACCTGTAACAATTCACCTGCCCTCTCTGGGCTCCAGGCTCCTCATGAGAAAGGATGTCCTGAACCTTCGAGGTGACAGGGACAGTGGGGGCAGGGAGCAGTGTCCGATGGCCAAGAGTGGCACAGCCATTGTCCTGTAATCACGGTGGCCTTTGCTCAGGAAAGGGGAGCCACCTCCCTGCACCCCGAGTCTACGAGGTTGCAGCTCAGCAGGGAGGGAGGGAAGGAGGGCGGCCAGGCCAGGCCCTCAGCATCGAGGGAAGCTGAGGCCCAGGCAAAGCAGGGTCACAGGCCACCCAGCGGGGCAGGTGATGATGTATGGTGTGGGGGCTGTGACACCCAAGAGTCCCAGGCGCCCTGCTCAGCCCCCTGCAGGTGTCTGAGGGTCCAAAGGCCCCTGCCCAATAAGGCCCGGGGCAGAGCGGCAGAAAGCAGGTAAGCTGAGCCCAACGACGCGCAGCCCGTGGGGCTCAGGATCCCATATCCCTGCTCTGGGCTGCCCGGCCTGCGGGGACTCGCCCAGGGGCCTCTGGGGTCCAGGATGAAAAGGGAGCCTGGCCCAGACCTGCCTTTCCGCTCTTCTGCTGTGGCAGTGGCTTTGATGTCTGCCCTGCAGCTCAGGAAGGAGGGGCAGAGGGGAGACACGGGGTGGGGACAGTTTGAGAGGGTGGCAACTTCTGGGCACAGCCAGAGCCTCACCCCAGCCGGCTGGAGACCAGTGATCTTGGCCTTCCAGGCTGGGTGGGCACAGAATCCTTGGGGTCCCCATCCCCTGCCATCTTCTCCAGCCCTCCCATGCATGTCGTTCCTTCTGCCAGAAACTCCCTTCCCTCTTTTTTTCCCTGGCCTCACCCTTGGCTCCCCTTGGGAGGTCGGGGCATCATCTTTGCTTGTGGCCTCCTCCTTGGCCCTGGAGGGCATCCTGCCATGTCCCAGGTTGGACAGCTTCAGGTGGCACTTGGGAGCCCCAGGAAGGGATGCTGATAAGCCCCAGGGGGTGGGGGGGACAGGCCAGTCTAGGGGCAGCTGGGGAGGGAGCCGCATGGCCCTGGCCCATCCCCCGCAGAGGTCCTCTGCCTCCTCCTGGCCCCAGGTTACAAAGTGGGGTGCCCTTCTCCCCATCTCTATCCGGGCATCTCTATCACTGCTGCTGTCTCTGCCCATGGGCTCCCAGCTGGTGCCCCCAGAAAGCCCACCCCCCAAACTGCCCCTTGAAGGTGGGACCGCAGTCAGCCAGGCCAAAGGCCCAGCACAGCCACAGCGCCAGGGAGGGTTTTCTGCAGAAGGTGGCTCGGGCTGAAAGCCATGGCCAGGAGGGGACTGGGGGAACTTGGGGGAGCTTGGAGGAGCAGGACAGGGCTCTGACTGACCCACAGGATCCCTAAATTGAGGGAGGTCCCAGCAGTCTCCTCCCACCCCCACGAAGTGTTTCCACCCCAGCCTTTCACTTTCTTTACAGCACTTCCCACAACCAGTTATTCCCTGCTTTGTTCACATGGTTACTGTCTCTCACTAGCTAGACAGGTCCCTGAAAGGTACCTTATCACTGTGCCCCGGTTAAAACAGATTCAAGCTGGGCGTGGTGCACACCTGTAATCCCAGCACTAGGGAGGCTGAGGGAGGAGGATCTCTTTGAGTTTGAGGCCAGCCTGAACTACATAGTGAGACCCTGTCCAAAAAAAAAAGGTAGATTCAGGGGCTGGGGTGTTAGCTCAGTTGTAGACAGCACACACCTGGCATGTGGCAGGCCCTAGGTTCCATCCCCAGCGTGAAAAAAGAAAAAAAGAGCACTGGGTTATGCTTTAGAAAGGGCAGACTTCAAATAACAGTGATTTAAACAAGAAAAAATTTATTTCTTGCTCAAGGAAGTACAGGCAATCCAGGTCTAATAGGGGACCTAATTTTTCACCACTCGACACACAGGGCTGCAGCTTCACAGTGCATAAATGGCTGCTCCAGCTCCAGCCTCTCTACTCACATTCTAGCCAGTTCAAAGGAGAAAAAAGGGAGATTTCAACCCCTGTCATTTAAAGAAAACTACCAGGAAATGGGCCAAACCACTTCTGCTGTCATACCACTGGTCAGAACTTGGTCATGTGCACACACCTTGCTGCAAGGGATCCTGGGAATTGTAGTCTTTAGACCTGGCAGCCATATGCCCTTTTAAAATTAGGGATCCATTCTTAGGGGAGACCTATCCTGTATCACAGGGCCCACTCTTAGCTCGAGATGATATTTGACATGTATTTAATTCTTTTTTTTTCTGGTACTGGGGATTGAACTCATGGCCTTGTGCTTGCTGGGCAGGTGCGGTTCGGTGCCACTGAGCTAAATCCCAGGGCCTAATACTTCATAATTATGTATTTAATCCTCCCAGTTACCCTCAAGGGGAGAGTGAGGAAGAGTGGATTAAATCACTTGCCGAGCCAGGGGAGCTGAGGCAGGAGGATCACTGTGAGTTTGAGGCCAGCTTGGGCTACATTGTAAGTTCAAGGCCAGCCTGGACTACATAGGGAGACCCTACCTCAAAATGCCAAAAGAGAAACAAACAAAAAAATTGCCTGCCCAAAGTATCCTGCTGGTACACAGCAGGAGGGCTTTGATCCTAGGACCCAGAGCAGGTGTTTTCTGTCCCTGTGTCATGGCTGTAGAATGAAGGTCAGTCCCAGCTGGGCTTGCTCGTGTGTCCGTGTGCCCACAAGGGAACCGGGGTGGGGGTCAGGGACTGGGACTGAGGCAGTGCAGAGCCAGGGTGGCCCCCAAGGGTCCTGGGGGCCGGGATCTTGCCGTGGGAGGAGCAGGCTCTTGCCTGGTCCCCCAGGAGCTGGAGGATGTCTCCTGGCCAGCGACTTCCCACTCCCCAGGGGTGGCTCTGCCTGGGGCGCTTTGAGATGTTTCCCTGGTCTGTCTGGGTTTAAGACCTGGGCTCTAGCCGGTGGCCCCGCTGTCTTCCCTGCCCACCCCTGGCGGGGAACCTGTCACCCTGCCAGACGCTGCCCAGCCCGCAGTGTCTCTGGGAAGCCTGACGGCCACTTCTTACCCACATAGCCATGCTCCCAGGCTTCTCTGCAGCAGGCTCATAGGGTCTTTGCTACGGATCTCTGGGGAATCTGGTGACACCTGTGTAGCTGTCCTGGGTGGAAATGCAGGGCGAATACATAGGGTTCCCAGGAAGCCAAGTATGGGAAGTACAGCTGTCAAGGCGGTGTAAAAACCCACACTTGCGACATAACACGAAGGCGTCTGTTAATTAAGCTTCACTGAGATCCAGCCAAGGTCTGAAATAAAGGGTGTGACCCCGAGGTGGCGATGATTCCTCCTGGGATTGGGGCCCAGGGACCATGGGCCACTGGACTCGCTGGGTGTGTCGGTCCCTGAATGAAACGCTCTGCTGTGGTCAAAGCTTGGTGGAGGAGGAGAAGGAACGTTCTTCCCTCCTGTGTTTCCGGTTGCACTGAATTCTGTCCACAGCATACCTGGGTTAAGGGCTCTGCTCTATTCCAATAATCAAAGTGTGGACATCGTGCCCCTGGGCAGGGAAGGCAGGGGAGAATGGGGTCAGCTGGGGAGGAGCCCAGGCAGGCCATGAAATGTGCAAATTGGCTGGGTGTGGTGGTGCTTGCCTGCAATCCCAGCACTCAGGAGGCTGAGGCAGGGGGATTGGTTTGAGTTCAAGGCCGGTCTGAGCCACACAGTGAGTTCTGCAGGATCCAGGAGGGATGTGGCTGTCTTTAGGTAGAGGGGAGACCCCATGAAGACCCATGGCACAGGTCTGTACTCTGCACCCTGAGCTCTTCCTAACCTGCCCTGAGGGCTCAACAACTGCATGGAATCCATGGCCGTCCCCTGGGAAGGGGGCAGGAGGCCGTCATTGGGACTGGCAGAAGGGCTCCCCGCATGCAGCTCCTGGAAGTGTCTTTGGGCCTGGTCAAAGACTTCCTTTGTGTCCTCCCCAGGAGGGCTACTTTCCCTGAGAGCCCGGCCACGAGTCTTGCGTCTTTCTGGGTCCCTGTTTCACCACTGTTCTGTCGACCCCTTCCGCATGTGCTGCCCCAGGAGGTGCCATCTGATCTTGGGCTTTCAGCCTCCAAAACCGTGAGCTAAAAAAGCTCTTTTCTTTGAGAAGCACCCAGCCTCCAACAGAAGCTGGCCTCATTCAGGCCCCAGCCCTGAGCTAGGTGCTGGTGGCCATTGGCTTTGAGGAGGAGGAGGAGGCCACAAGCCCAGGACTGCAGGCGGGCTGGAGAGGCCAGAACAGACGTGAGACCCCTTCCCTGAGGCCTGGAAGCTGTGCATCCTGTGGACACCTTGAGCTTGGGCTCCTGAGCCCCAGGTTGTAAGGAAACACATTTGTGTTGTTTAAGCCACTTTGGGTTCACCACTTACAGCAGCCACAGGAAACTGAGGCAGGGGGCTTCATCAGCCCTTCTCCCAGTTCTCAGCCAGCTCTGTGATCCGGGAAGAGGAGGCAGTGTGTGTGGTGACAAGGCCACCAGGCCCCTCAGGAGCCCTGCCTGGGACTTTCCATCCCCTAGCCCCCAGGGAGCCCCGCCCCACCAGCCGGGCCAGCCCGGGAGCGGGAGCAGGAGGCTGTTGATTCCAGAAACCTGAAAATGTCCTTCGCAGCCAGGGTCCCAGAGCCCTGGGTGGTGACTCCAGCCCTGCTGTTAAACTCCCTCCAGCCTCAGTCTTCCCCCCCTGCAAACACAGGGAGCAACAGCACAGGACACAGGTGTGGGCACAGGTGTGCACCGAAGGTGTGTGTGCAGATCTATCTGTGCACGCTGCTGCGCCCTGGTGTGTGCACAGGCTTTGTGTGTGTGGCGTGCACTGTGACTCCCATGCCTGCCCGCTCACAGACCCCAGCCCAGGGCAGGGCTCTGCAGAAGGCCCTGCCAGCCCCTGGGGTCCTTTGGGGCCCGGTCCTGGGTGTCCAGGCCTCACCCCCAGCTGCTCTCTTCCCTTCTTGTTTCCTCCAGGCAGCCTTGCCCGACTGCCACTCTGGGTGGCTGTCCCTCATCCTGACCCCAGGCCACTTGCTCCCGTGATGAATGAGAGACAGATCTGGCTGGTGGCTGCTCCATGCAGGGCGGTGTCCAGAGGCCAGTGTCCCTGCGGCTGGCAACAGAGACACAGGGACCTGCGGAGCTCATGGTTGGAGGGGCTGAGGGTAGAGGCACAGACTGCTGAGCAGTGGGTTCTTCGGCCCAGCAGGTGCACAGTGGCGACTTCCTTCCCCTCAGCCCGGGCTGCCCGAAGGGGACGAGCCTGGCCAGGGTCACCAGGGTCTCGGGGCGGCTCCTCCCCTGCCCCCTCCCCCTGCCTGGCCCAGGCGGTCAGAGCCAGGCTGGGGCTGTGCTGCGCTGAGCACCTTACTCTGCCTCTCTGACCCTGTGAGGCAGCACAACTGCTCTGAGTGAGTGAGCCTGTGTCAGCAGCATCGCTTCCTCCCTCCCGCCTTCCCTGGCTCCTTTCCTTGGATCCTTCCCTCTTTCCTGCACCCCCCACCAGTCTTTGAGGGTCCCTGCTGAGCAGGGGGGGTGCACAGGACAGGCATGGAGGGGCTGGGCCTGCTCCTGGGTGGGGGCAGTGGGGTCAGGGACCTCCCGCTCCCCAGCCCTTGGCCCTGGTGGCTCCCAGGAAGGGTGCTGAGCCTGGCTCCTGGTCCCCAGTGGGAGGCGGCTGGCCCGGCCCCCTGCCCCCTGCACCGGCAGAGCTGCCAGGGAGCATGGGGGGGTGTTAGGGTGTGAGCACGGGGGCTGCAGGGGAGCCCCGAAAGCCTCAGGAGGCTGCTGTGCAGCAGGGAGCAGGGAGGATGGGCGAGAAAGCCGACTGTGTGCGCGTGTGTAGCTGGCAGCAGAGGAGCCTTCAAAGGCAGGAGGGGAAGGAATGAGCCGGAAACCTCAGCGCAGCAGCAGCAGCAGAGGCCCAAGGGGAAGCGAGGGGCCACAGAGGCAGACAAGGCCAGAGGAGGAGGAGGAGGAGGCCGAGGGGCAGACAAGGGGACCCCGAGATCACCAGGTCCACAGCCCACACTCCGCTGTCCGAGACTCCCGCTCCAGCCCAGCCCAGCTACCGACTGCTGCTGACCCTGGGTCCATCTTTGGCCTCTCAAAAGCCTCAGGGTTGCTGGGCGTGGTGGCGCACGCCTGTGATCCCAGCCCTCTGGGAGGCTGAGGCAGGAGGATCCCTGTGAGTTCGAGGCCAGTCTGGGCTACACAGTGAGTTCGAGGTCAGTCCACACTGCATAGTGAGACCCTGTCTCAAAAACAAACCAAGCAGGGGCTGGGGATTTAGCTCAGTGGTTTCACCACCTGCTGCGCAAGCGCAAGGACCTGAGTTCAATCCCTGGTACCAAAAAAAAAAAAAAGCAAGCAAAGACCCCGTATCTGAGCTGCTGCAGTAACTACCAAGGACCCCATAGACCCAGTGGTTTCTTTGCAGCCAGGGCCAATGTTCTCAGGACCCCGGGGTCGAGGTGTGGGTGGGCTCAGTGCCTCCCCCTGGCTCCTGGCTGCTGCTTCTCCCTCCCATTCCAGGCACGGCCAACACACTCCGAAGGCCAAGCCCACAGAGGGGCCAAGACCGAGCCTCACCCCTTACTGCTTAATGACACCCACTGGGGGTGAGGTCCCAAGTCTGACGGGGAGAGCGGACCTCGCTCTCAGGCTGCAGTGCTGAATCTCCAAACACTGCCCCGTTCCAAGGCCGGGGTCAGGGCTTCAGGGTGTGAATTCAGGGAACACAGTTTCTCCCAGAACACCTGCTTCGGCCTGGGTTCCCTGAAGGGAGGTATGGAAGAAAGGGGTTTGGGGGTGCATTCCTGGCACACAAGCGAGGGGTCGGGCAGGCAGGAAAAGAAGCCAGGACAGGTGGGCAGTGTTGACTGCACCAGCGTGGACGCTGGAGTACCTTCCTTCCTTCCTTGGTCGAACTTAGGCCTTTGTGCTTTCGAGGCAGGCACAGAACCACTCAACTGAATCCCTGGCCCCACTTTGCTTTTTTTTGAGACAGGGTCTCCCTATGTAGTCCAGGCTGGCCTTGAACTCACTATGTAACTCAGACTGGCCTGGAACTTTCGGTGATTCTCCTGCCTCAGCCTCCCGAGTACTGGAGTTACAGGTGTGCACCACCACGCCCCAGGGCTGGGCCCTGGCCAGAAGGCTGCCCCATGGTCATGGCCTGGAGTCTGGGGACCCATCCTGTGCCCGGTGGAGCCCCCTCCCCATGACCTCAGGGCAGCTGCTACACCGGAGCCCCCTGCAGATGGCGGGAGCGGGACCACCCACAGGGCAGGATAGGGGGACTCGGAGCCCCTCAACCCCAGGATGCTAAGGTCCCCTGACAGTCCCTCCTCCCTCAGGACAGGTGCCAGGACTCGGGTTGGCCTGCCGGGGCTCACCCGGCCACCTCCTTGTCCCCCTCCTCTATGGGGGGCAGAGGGAGTCCTGAGATGGCCTCAGCCCATCCCTGCTGAGTCCAGGCCCACCCTCTCCCGGGCAGTACGGGACTCCACACACCGTCCTCGGTCAGCCAAGGGACACAGAAGGCCGGGACCGCCTGCGTCACACAGCGGGCAAGTCCAGTCCTGAGTCAGGACCCAGTGCTCGCTGGACGGTACCTGAAAGAGAAGGAAGGTGGGGGTTCGGGAATTTTGGGGTGAGCCCCCCATGGCCCTCACTGAGGCCGCCTTTGGGTGGTGGAGCCCCAGCTCCACTTGGTCTTTTCCTCCCCTGCAGAATCAGGAGCTCCCCCTCCCCCTCCCCCTCCCCTCCCCCT